TTTGAAATCGTATGTTGCCACCTAGTTATAATACGCCCAAAGTCACGATTATTTTCGGTTTGCGCCTGCATACTTGCCTCCAACAACAGGTATGAAGCATAGCATGTGCAATTCCCATACAAAGAGAAACAAATGGAAAACCTGGCGACGAAAAAGAATTGGACTGATGAGGAACGGCTAGAGCTGGCGGCACAGTTGGATGCTCAGCTGGATGAATTCATCGATGGCTTGGAAAAGAAACGATATGAGGAGGGCTGGCCGGAGGATCGTTGGCAGGAGGAAATGGATAAGCACCCGTTCTTCATGAAGAAAACACCACAGCCAGGTGATGAGGTGCATCCGATGTTTGAAGGTCTGCAAAAGCTCAAATACGATCCGGAAGAGAATACGCAAGAAGAGCTGGCACTCAACTACAAAGAGGATGGCAATTTCTATATGAAGCACAAGAAATTCCGCATGGCCGTCTACTCATTCACCGAGGCCATCAAAACGAAGTGCGACAATCCCGATGTGATGGCCGTGCTTTATAACAATCGTTCCGCGGCCCATTTCTTCCTCAAGAATTATCGTTCGGCTCTGAGTGATGCACAGCGTGCGCTCTTTTATAAGCCGGACTATACGAAGGCGCGCTGGCGTGCCGCTCAATGTGCCTACGAACTGGAGAAGTTCGATGTGTGCACAAAGCTCTGCGAGGAACTGCTCGAAGTGGACATCGATCACAAAGAAGCCAAGGCGCTGTTGCATAAGAATAAAATGAGGAAGGTGAGCATTAAAAATGTTTTACCCTACACATGTCATATAGTATACTAAATTCCCTCTCAGCTCGAAGTGGATCGCAATCAGCGCAAGGAAGCGGCCGAAGCCAAACGTAATCTGGCTCGTTTCCAGAAGCTGCGTGATGCATTGGAGCAGCGTGCCGTCAAATTTGATGATCAACCCATTAATAAACGTGCGAATATTACGGAACAATTGTTGATACCGAAGTTTTTGCCCCTCGAAGATTATCCAGTACATTTGGATGCGGAGGATAACAGCACCTTGATTTGGCCCGCTGCCTTCTCGTATCCCGAGTTCCTGCTCAGCGATTTCCAGCAGCAACTGCCCGAGACGGCCACCATGCAAGATTGCCTGATCACACTGTTCGCCGAGCCGCTGCCCTGTGACAGGACTCTGAGCTATCGTCCGGATAATGTGAATGTCTACTATGAGAATCGCAAGGCGGGCCGTGTGCACAAGGTGGACTCAACTAAGACATTACGCGAGATTATAAGTGAGAAGGGCTTCTTTGTCTCGGGTGGCGCATTGCTTTTCTACGTGGTGACCAAGGATACGCGTGTCGAACAGGAGTTCCTTCATCAGCAACGACGACCCATGGTCTATAGCTGAGTGGGCCAAGACTAGGATAGGGATAAATATAAGCAATACATTGTAATTCTAGTAGTTAACAAGCATTTGATTAGTTTTTATTGTTCATTTGCTGCGAAATATGTATAAAGTATATGTTTATTTTATATTTTA